ATAGAATAAATTTTATCGTGTCGACAAAAAAAAAAGAAGCCTCATTTGGTATTCGAGAATGCCAGAATAAAAAAGTTTTTCCACCCGAAATACCTTTCAACCTAGAATAGTAGGGGAAAAAATTTTATCATTTCAATGTCTGGTACCAAGTAAAAATAGATATTCATTCATTTTCCAATATTTGGTATAATCAATAGTTAGATGTAAAAATGGAACACAATAAATACAACTTTGACTTAATTGCCCTGGATTTAGTTTTTGGAACATAAGATATTTATTTGTACTACTATGTTATTTGTTTGTTTACGTGGAATTTTGACAGTTTTTGCTTTCAAAATAATTGATGATTGATATTAAAATTTTTCAATTGTAATTCATTCTAGCATATCGATTTTGATGTTAAAATTTTACATCCACTAGCAATATAATTAATTAATTAGTAATGTAAGTATAAATTACAAGAAGCCAAATGAATATAATATACTTTTAAATTTTATTATTTTTCATTTTTATATAAAAATTTTTAAAAATTCGTACAATTGTTCAAAAGTCAAAGAATAAAGTTTCTTAAGACATTTGTTTGCTACTAGAAAAGAAAATTTTATTTTAAACACAAGAAAAAATTACATTTAATTATTAATTGAGCTCACAAATATTCTAAGATATGGTGATGGAGTAAAATTATTTAGAAGGATAAACTTGGCATCTTGCTACTTTGGGATTCTATGATGAAATTAGAAAGAGTTTCCCTACATTTTTTTTTTTCAGAATGGAATTTCAGGAAAAAGTTGAAATTAGCATTTCAAGAAAAAATGACTTTTCCACTGAAATTATCCATACCAAAATTGAAATGGAATGACCAAATTGAAACAGCCTTTCTTTTCAGGCCATAGGTCATTCCTGAGTGCCAAACGTATGGCAAGAGTAATGTGAAAAGAAAGAAAGTTTTCAAGTTACAAGTACTTCAAAAATTTGCATAAATGATACTATGATAAGATTTCGAATTTGATCCTTCTCAGAAAGTCATCTTAGATCGCAAAAAACTAGACGGTCCATATGCGTTAAGTGCATCGAAATTATGCAAGAAGATTTTGGGTTTTCCAAACAAAGGAAGTCAAAATGTGCCATATAAAAGTTTTTAACTACGAGCAAAACGAGAGACAGGGCTAATGAGAGAAATTGGCTCTTTTCCCCTTCTCAATTTTGCTACAAATACAGAATCCCGACCTCCGGAATGAATCCAGTCACCGAAAACGAGCAAAACGAGAGACAACGAGACCTGGTTCATTTTTCAGCTCTAGGGTCAATATGCCAAGTAACCTTCAAGTGCTTGGTAGTTTATCAAACGAAACTAACGTAAATATGGTCGCCAGTTTAAATGCACATTTCACATTATAACCTGGGGATCGTGTTTACCAGGCTGTGAATGATCAAGAGTGCATAGAAACCTCCTTCCCATTCAATAATTACCATGTCTTATCCAAGCAATCATGACTGCTGAGTCTTCCCGTGAGACAAATTCGCTTCAATCTTTTAGTCTTAAGTAAAAGCTAACACAGATAGGAAGTGCAGATGGCAATTCAACAAATTACTAGCATGTAAAAAATGTAATCCATCCTTGTACTCATTTTAGTCGAGGGCAGCTGGGTCGGATTTCATCGAGTATGGCCAAGAAAACACAGAAAATAACCACAGCAAATGGTTAATTATCTACTAACCTCCCAAATATTTTGCTGAAACAAGCAGCAAGCATTAAGGAAATATATATTCCAGCACATCGTATTTGAGTACCTATCCACTACGTGTCCAAGGTAGACACTGAAGAGTAGCAACCTTGATACCAGGAGGAGATGCAGTTACAAAAACATATATAGCAAGGATCCGGTGTTGATAGTAGCAAGTAGTGGTTCATAAATTTTAATGGCATCTAATGCAAAGTCCATTGCCTTACAGCTCAATTAGAGCAGTGCAGGCGAGATGTCCATTGGAAAGGGATTACCCAAAACATTGTCCATATAATAGTGGGGATGTGTGGCATCCATCACCACAAGTTGCATATCCTCTGAAGGCTTCCAGTGCCGCTTCCTTTGATTGATGAACCAATTATTAATTTGCTTCTGGTCTAGACCTGTTGATTCAGCAAGCGCCAGCTTCTGTGATTCCTGTTGATGCATTAAGTTGCCCCATTTTTAGAAACAGAATATAAGTCTACATCTATGTTATTGTCATCTTATTATTTGGACAGCTGCCCACAATTTGAGATGCTTTACTGTGATTGAACTTTAAATCATAGCATAATAAGGGGTGTGTAAATGCCTTCCTTGATGCTTTCATGGAAAGAGTAGAAGTTCACAACCGATTTATGATGTTACAAATGCGGGGAGAAATACAATTTCTAAATGTTTAGCAAATGAATGCACTCAGGTAATTATGAGGTGATCTAAGTTGAATTAGTTACCGATGGGTATGGCCATTTGTAATGCCTGCTCCACCAGTCCAACAACTGTTGCCTGGCTTCCTTTGGCAGCTTTCCTTTCTTTCTTTTCTTCATGAATTCCTGCTTCAGGCTGCCCAAATATCCACTGTACTTGCGCAAAAGCTGACCTTTAAGCTCCCGATCTTCTGCTTGAGGGTCAATGAAGCTGTTGTTCACATCAACCTCCTCTTCAGAGGATCCATTCCTGTCCATAGCCTCTCCACAAGCTGCTAGTATTTCAAGAGAGTTCTCATGAGCATCTAGAAACAAAAAGAACTACTTGTTGCAACAATCACCACGAGAGAAGACCTTGCAGACCATGCATTATCTAATCAGTTATTCATTGACCTCGTGCAGTAATAACCAACCTTTGGTTTCAGATACCATGTGTTATTTTTTCACAACATAATTCGGAATAATAACCATGAAACTGATGCAGATATTCAGCATATTTAGGAAAAAGAATAAAAACCAAAGGCGCTCAAGATGTATTGTTCCAATTGTGAGCCCATCAAATAAGGTTCCTCAAGATTGATGAGCTACACATAAAGGAATTTAAATGAAATGAAGTATGCTTAACACTTCGAACATTAAAACAAGTAACATTTGGCTAATGAAAAAAAAGTTTAACAGCAGGAAAAATAAATTGGTGACTTGAAAAGTTATAAAATCTGTGAAGGTTCGAACCACTTCGCTATTGTTCACAAGGTTAAAGACCATCCCGCTCTAATCAAAAGAGATTTCTTTATTACTTGAAGCACTCCATTGCCACTTGTCCTCCTGATTTCTTTTGTTTGTTTTAGTTGATAAAGGATAGCCAGACATACTGTCCAACTAAAAAGGTAAATCAACCATGTCAGTTTATAAACAACAGATCAGTTCTTCCTATGCATTTTCTGTAATGAGCCATCTATCACCTTAATCATGAACTCTACTCATGTTTACTGCTTGCTCCTCAATGGGGAACACTGAATAAACATATTTTAGAGCCCAAAACATACATAAATTTTGATGAAGGGCAGAAAAATCATATTGGATAATGACAACCCCCCCCCCCCTCCAAAAAAAAAATGCGCCTCTTTCCTTTCCTTTTAATTTCAGAAGGTTCAAACAATGAAAGGAAATCATATTACATCATTTCATGAAAATGTTCACTGTAGGAAAGTAAACCTACATGTTTCTGATACTAGTGTTGTGTTTTCCGATACAGAATGTGCATCATAGTATTCCATGTTAAAGGAGGAAAAGAAAAGCTTTAACTTCACAGCAGAAAGTGCAGCCCAAGTTAAGAAGCAAACAAAGTTATGTAAATAGTTGAACATGCTAATTGAACTCTTGAAAAGTACTTGTGAAAATGTGGAAATAAATAATTTCAAACATGGCATCATCACGGTCCTAGGAGAGGCACATCATTCTGCTTCATTTCAAGCGAAAAGCACGGGACCCAAGGCTTGTCATTTCACCATAATTCTTCAATTATCATGATAGACACATTTTCTACCACTTCAATAAGAAGTCACTGTGTAGTAACTGCAATGATTTGCTTCCTACACAAATTGTGTACCGCACAAAGTTTGGAATTTAAGTAGCAAGTCTAACCAATAAGAAGCCTGTGAAACCATTCGCTGAAAGAATTCTATAAGATATTGATCAGGCTTGCTACCATTAATACAAGTAGCATGAATGAACTACCTTTCGTTTTTCAAGAAGCGATCTTAATAAATTAAATTTATAACTTTCAAGTGTAATTAGCTCCAAATGCAATATAAAGTCTAAAATTCAACTTATAAACTTCTCTAGAATTGTGTATTTCTCTTTTGAAAATTACTGCATCATTCTCAAAGTCTCGTTATAGGGCTTACCTATGTTGCTAGGTCCTCCAATTATTGCATTTCATTGTGCAATGAGAAGTAATTGCACATGAAGGCATTTCTCCTTAAATACCACTGCACTACACCAAAATTTCAAGCTATAAAAAGAGATTTGATAAGTAAACGCACTAAATGTGCATGCCATAAAAAATATCAGTAGTTTAACACACATATTCATTCATGCTGAACAACTAGACAGCTCTTTTCATACATCCAAGTTCAGCAAAGGTTCGCCTTTCTCTCCTTCTTTGGTTGGTAAAGAGAGACAGTTTTCAGTGAGGATTTCCACAGCAGTAATGCAACTAAGAGATTAGATTCAAATGGTACAGTGATTTAATGCAAACTTGACCTGTATGTGAAATCATCAACCATATTTTCACAGATGAGACATATCTACTTCAAGGCAAGTTCCAATGCACCCATCAATTATGGGAACCTAAAGAGTAAAAGATGAAAAATTGTGCAAGTTGAAGCAACTTGGCACGTACCATAATAATAAGAAGACTTGAACAGAAACATAAATTTGAGTGTGCCCCTTGGCTTGTTGAATTTGGCAAACAGCTAATGATGCGAGATATATCAAATAGAGTAAAAAACGAAAAGGTGACAAAAAGAGACAGCTAAGGAAGTCAAGTCAATGAAGAAACTCCCAAAGAGAACGCTAGTAAACAGTTCATCAACACGTTATGCTTTGTAACCGATGGTGTCGTAGAGGCAAGACTTCACCCTATCTTCCTCCGTTTTAAACCTAGATGCAAAAAGCCCAAAATCTAAGTTCAAGTTTTCGGTCCACCTTTAACCCTTGCTCTCCTATACCGTATGTTCATCAAAACTTTACGACTTGTTAAAAAATAAAAGCACAAGATATACAATTTGAAATGAATAAAAACTGTATAAATGTTGAAACTAGAAAACCTTTCATTTTCTGAAGTCAACTAGAAAACACTCAGCTTGTCTTAGCTTGAATACTGTGTAAAAACTCTGGTAACTGTCCAGTTGATAGCAACTTCTATTAATGCCTTCTCACGGACTAAGAGCTGCATAACATGCTCCAAAATGAAGCTAGCTTCTGTCTACACTCACCAAAACTTTAAAAGTAACTACGAAACTGGAGATGAACAATGCATAAAAACTGAAAAGGTTCTTACTCCAGGAGTCGCAAACACCGAGAAGGAATTAACAAAGGCAGGGATCAGTCCCACAAAGCCTATTTGGATTAAGATATTACTCCTAAGACAGGAGACCTGGAGAGACCTAGGTTGCAGTCATATTTATACCCTAGTAAAACAGTGAAGCAAAAGAAACAATAAATAGAAGCCCAACCCAAGATTTTATCAATGTCAACAAGAGTAAAGAAAAATAAATACTACAAAAGGGAAGAGGAGACAATCCGCACCTTATACCTCACACCTTAGTTAATTAAATCTTGGTCGTCTTATTGGAACATGCACATGATGGACTTGTTCATTAAACTATGGAGTAAAAAGACAAAATCGACCAGCAAACAAACTCACAAACAGTTTTAGAAGATCTGATCTGAGAAGAATAACTGTCCTTCATCAAGAGAAAAAAGAAGAGGGAAATAGGTATTTAGGGCCATCTACCAGAATCTGAAGAAGCAAGAGTGAGAGCTTTGAACTGGCACTCGACTCTTGACAAGAAAAGCATGGCTTCCTTGAAGGGTTTCGAGAGTTCCTCTTCGTATTTAGTCAGCATTTCACAATAGGCTTCCATAAATTGATCAAGTGCCGGATCTTCACCAATACAGCTTGTGTTGTTACGGCTAAGACTTGCAGCAGAAGTGCAGACTTCCTCTAGCCTTGCCACCACTTCAGGAGGTGCTCCTATCTGCAGCAAAATTTTACAATGACTAGTTGAGTTAGTTCCATTTTTATTAGCTCTTTTGCAATAATGGTTTTCATTTTTGCTAAAGAGGGTTTTACACATTTAGCTGATATTACTGTCTCTTTCATCGTTATTTCCGAAAGGGTTTCCTGTTGCACATCTTTTTCAACAGAGTATGTGGTCCTTGGAGTATCAGTTAAGGCAAGAAAAGAAAGAATACAAAACCCCTCCCATCACAGCCATCTCTGTCTGTGCTGATGTGAGATAAACAACTGCATAAGAACTCACATAAATATTTCGACATAAATGCAAGTAGAAGTTTTCTAGTAGAACAACATTTGGAGGTAAATATGAAAGGGTAGTTTTTCGTTTTTGCAAGAAAAGATGCAGAAAGAATGGATCTTGTTCCTCACAGGAGGAAAGCGGTGAATTTGGTTTAAAAGCTTTTAGGTTGTTTGATGTAGCTTTAAACCTTTTGGCAATTGATATAGGCAGCCAAGAGACGATGGTAGTGAGGATGAGCCATGATCTTAGCCTTGACAGATGGAGGAGGAGACGAAGAATAGCTTCCACCGATATCATTGTTGCTGTGATCCACGAAATAACTGCCACCGCCAGTGGTGCTGCTGCTCAAGTTATGATGACTGTTGTTGTGGTTTTCATCATCCAGCTGCATCATAGAAGAAGCAGAAGTAGCTGCAGTGCGACGATTATTGGGGTGGTCTTGGGTGTCGCCGGGATGAGCATGAGGTAGAGGAAGATATAGGGTATTGGTCTCTGCATTAAGGTGGGTAGAAGAAGTCATCTGAGGAGGCATCATCATCATCATCATAGGACTTGTAGGACCTCCTAAAGCACCACTACTGTTGTCCCCCCCAAAAGCCATCATCAAGCATGAAGTTGAACTTGAGCCCTCCATTATAAGAACGCACACAACACACTCTTCCTCTTTTGCACACCCTCACTTTAGCGTCTTCAGTTTACCCTTGTTATATACTACTAGTACTAGTGTATGACAAGGGCTTCCCTAACCCTTTGTTGTTATTCTACTCAAAAAACTTCAACAGTGATGATAAAGGTTGGTTGAGGTTCCCCTTGTTGTCTTATACTATGTGCTAGCAATCTTGCTTCTCCTTTTGATGCTGGCTAGGCAGAGGGCAGGGGTCTCCCGAGTTTTATGCTACTGGTTTCAGCCTTTTTACAGAAAATCCTAAATAGTGGTAGCGTTAGTCAGTAAGTAGCGGAGCTAGCTGGTGGAACCAGGATTTTTTTGTTTTCTTTTTCTTTACTTTAGTCTTTGCTCTCTGGGATGAATATAGATAAGGTCTGAGAAAGGCTGTTGAAATGAAATAGATTTAATATTTTTTTTCCTTTCTCCTCCCTATGCTTATAACTACTACTAACACGTTTCTCGTTTAACAGCAAATGAGAATTAGTTCTAAACTCTCTGTCTCTCTGTCTTTTCCAATAAAACAAAGCACAAATGAGTAGTAGTAAGTACACTAGACGCCATTGGGCTTTGGTCCAGTGGTCATCCCAAGCCTTCTTAGGCTTGGTGGTGCGGGAGGTCAAAGGTTCGAACCTTGCCTCCCACAAAATTTATCACAATATGTGACGGTCTTCATTGACCAGTTTCGATGGAGTTTCTACTCACATCGAGTCCCATCCCCTTCCCCTCTAGAATAGGCTAGTTTAGGTTATAGAAATTCTATCGTATCGATAAAAAAAAAAAAAAAAGTACACTAGACATTGCAGAGCGCACGCGGGAATTGTAGTAGTAGCTTTTTAGCAAGTACTAATAGTAGTAGTAGTATAGGTTTAGTAATTTAGGAGGAGGAGAAGTTCAAGAGGAAGAGAGCGAGTTTTTAGAGTCTGTGTAGTCTCTCCTCCTTGCCATGGGAAAATGTTACAACTAGTAAATTGTGCAAGGGAAGTATGTAATAGTAGTCGTCGTAGTAGTAGTATGTTTGAGGCTTGTGGTGCAAAGCTTTACCTTCCCGATGAAAACTCTCTCCCTCTTTTCTTGCACTGCCACTGAGCCACTGCCATTACTGGCAAACTAGAAAGAAAGAAAGAGAGAGACAGAGAAGGATAGAGGGTGAAAAAGAGAGAGAGAGAGAGAGAGAGAGGAAGGAACGATCAAATCGAGGTGTAGTGTAGTGTAATATGTAGTGTATAATATGTGTAGTGTAGTAATGAAGTAGTGATGGATGACGAGAGGATGAAAGGTTTTGTGTTTGAGGGCACGGAATCACGATTTCTGCTGCCTTTTGTACTCTGCCTTCCCCTGCTTCACACCTATTTGTCCACTTATTAAGTGGTTCCTTCTTCTTACTACTACGTTGTCTTCTTCTTCTGCACCTTTATCTATTGATAATATATTTTTCTCGTCTACTATTTCTTTTCTCTTCCTCTAATCTCTGACCCCACGTCCTCATTCACACCCAAGATTTTAATTGTTACTTGCAAGTTTTTTTTTTTTTTTGTCTATTTCTGGTCTGGATTTGGATTCTTGCTGTTTCATTTCCAGTAGGATCAATTACGCCCAACCAAGTCCTCGAGTTTTCTTGTACTAGTAGATTTTTTTCCCTAATATAAAATCTATCAGCATGGGTTGTTTGTGCTTGTGCAATTCTCTCCCATTTGCATTGTATTTTTTGGTAGTTTCACAAGTTTTTGTAAAAAATTAGGGTATTTTTATTTTTTTAAAAATTTGATGTATTTAAAAAAAGGGATTTTTTTTAACGGGTACCTATTAGTATTCAATGTACATTTTATTTTTTTTTACCCTTTCACCTCTTTTCACACCATTTCTACCTTCAACTATTAGGCACAAGATTCAAATTTTAAATTTAACGCTAGGGAAAATGTACACTTGTTAATGTACTTAAATCACACTTAACTTGTTAATATACATAAATTACACTTAACCTAACATGTGAATGTACGTATTGACAATTATTATTTTTTCTTTCATTTATTTACTTTCTCTAATTATTTTTAGTTTTCCAAAAATTTAACACTTAAACTATATCTTTAAAATGTGTCAAAAAATATTCTCCAAAAATTACATTCAAGCAAGGATTCTACTAATATTTAGTACGAAAGAGATTTTGAATTCAAAACCTTTCACAAAAAAAAAAGAACTAGTATTTAGTACTATTGTATGCATTTACCTATTCGAATTATCTTAGAAAAAAATTCAATTTTTGAAGTTTTGCTCACTTTTTTCTTTTTTATTAACATTTAAAATCTTGCATTTATTTTTTGAAAAAATCGTTCACAATATCTCTCACATTTTGCAAAAATAACTTTGTTCGTCCTTCACTTTTAAAAGTGTAATTTTATGTCCCTTATAGATTTATGTTGATCAAATTTGGTCTCTATCTAAGTTTTCAACTAATTTTTTGCCAGAATATACCACGTGCTTTGCACGTGATTATTTTTTAGAGGTAAAATTATCAAATCACATTTCACATAATTCAATCCATAGTTCCTCACATTTCACAAAATGAATTTTTTCATCCCTCATATTTCATAAAATGAATTTTTCTATTCCTCATACTTCACAAAATGAAATTTCCATCCCTCACTAATCATGTGCTGAATACTTTTTAAAAAAAAACATATATATGTCTATTTGATTTTACCTAATAATGCGAATAACATGTATTATACGTGATTATTTGATTTCATTTGATATTAATTAGTAAAAAGTCTTGCATTCATTGTCAAGTTGGCTAATAAAGCTATTCGCGATCAAAATACAATAAGAATAAATTTTGATCGGGAATAGCTTTATTAGCCAACTTAACAATGAATGCTATACTTTTTACTAGTTAATACCAGATGACATCAAATAATCACGTATAATACATGTTATTCGTAATGTTAGGTAAAATTAAATAGATATATACACGTGTAAATTCAATCTATAACATGTTCCTACAAAATTTTGTAGGTCAGTCATAACTTAAACCACTGAATAACTATTTTATCACATAACTGCAGCAATTTTGTAGATTGAATTTTTGCACATTTGACTGGTATTATATATGGGATTTGGACTTTGTTCAGTTGATATAATTCTTACAACATAAATTCTTGTAACTTTGGTAAAGGTATACGAGTTTACGCCAACTATTACACAAATTACGAAGTGGATAGAATTCGACTAGTTATTTACCCACCTTTAAAAAAAAAAGTTTCATTTTCTGATGTGTAGCTTGCTTGAGGAGACAAATGGAATGAAAGGCAACTCTATCTGAGGTGGCTGGAATAAAGCTGTAAAAGGGGGTTAAACAAGGAATCGTAGCACTAATGTTTGTAGAACCAAAATGAATAATGTTCAACTTGGTGCTACTTCAATCTTCACGGCAGCTCTTCATAGCTTTTGGCTTACTACTTGGTACTACTTGTTTTTCTTTTTCCTATTTAGAGCATTGTCTGGAAAAACTGGGTTCACAAATAAATATCCGTTAAAGTCTCTCCAAAAATTGAGTGTGTTTGGATCGTCAAATAATGACTATAAATTATTTACTTACATCACAAATACAATTTTCAACATACTTTTTTATTCTCAAATACCTTTTTATCTTAGATACGTAACAATATAAAAAGTGCTACACTAGTAAGTGTGTTTGGATTGTAAGTTATTTGCCCAAATATATTTGCTTACATCACCATTACAATTTCCAATACACCTTTTTATCTTCCCAATTACCTTTTTATCTCACATACATCACATCATAAAAAGTGTTACAGTAAAAATATGGGATAATTTCAGAAACCTCCCCTGAGGTTTCTGACATTTACACTCACCTCCCCTGTGGTTTGAACAATTACACTAACCTCCCCTGAGGTTACTAATCCTTTACAAATTCAGTCCAAATGATTAAAATATTGTTTTAGAGAGTGAAATTAGAATTTTGTACCTGATTTGCCCTTTGTGCTACATATCCAATGAATGACAAAGTATTACAAATTAATTAATAATTAATAAACTTTAAGGAGTGTAGTTTATAGGAAAAAACGCATTACTTATTTAAAGTACCAACTCTTTACGAGTATTTTACTTTCAAACATTTACTTTATTACAAATATTTATTCTTAAATACAGATTTGTATTACTCTCAAATATTTAATTTTTGTTAAATAAAAAACCTACCAGTTATTCTTCCGTAGAAATATTAATATAACACTTTTTCAATTTTAGTTATAAATATTTATGTATTTAGCATAAATTAAATGATTCAGGATTAAATACTCATAAAGAGCTAATACTTTACCCATGTAATGGATGAAAACCATAAAAAAATAATACTTTATGGGGGCATTTCTTTTTTAAAAAAATATTTAATTTATATTAAATAGATAACCTACTGATTTTCTTTTTGCGAGAATATTACCGTAACACTTTTTAATTTTTAATTACAAACGTTACTATATTTATCAAAAATTAAATATTTGAAAATAAAATATCTGTAAAGAGTCGTTACTTTAAATAGGTTATGCGTATTTGCCTATAAACTATACTCTTTAAAGTAAGGAGTATAGTTTATTGATTTAGCTAGTAGAGAATCTTTTGTAGGTGGCGGGATTAGTCCTCTTAAGAGATAAAAATGGGTATGCTTTTGGTAAAACGATTAGTTTATACGTGTAAGTACGAGCGTGCACACAAAAGTGGTTGGGTCTATTTAACTGTCCGCACAATCAATAATCTTTGGTAAGCCTTCGACGAAACTTCAGAGAGAGAGAGAGAGGGGGGGACCACACTGGATCAACGTAGTATTATGTAAACTATTGGTATAGTAGTTGTTATGGTACTTGTGTCTAAATAAAATATTTGTGCCTGAATCTCGCACCTTCTAAAGACGCCAGGGAAAAGTATAAATATTATTGTTCTTTGAAACATTTTCAAAAAAGATGGGTGAAAATGAAAGAAAACTTTAATTCCGAGACCGTTTATTTTATCAACTACACTCCTTATTTAAATTAATAAACTACACTCCTTAACTTAAATCAATAAACTATACTCTTTACTTTAAAGAGTATAGTTTATAGGCAAATACACATAACTTATTTAAAGTACCCGCTCTTTACAGATATTTTATTTTCAAATATTTAATTTATGATAAATATAGTAACGTTTGTAATTAAAAATTAAAAAGTGTTACGGTAATATTCTCGCAAAAAGAAAATCAGTAGGTTATCTATTTAATATAAATTAAATATTTTTTTAAAAAAGAAATGCCCCCATAAAGTATTATTTTTTTATGGTTTTCATCCATTACATGGGTAAAGTATTAGCTCTTTATGAGTATTTAATCCTGAATCATTTAATTTAT